TGGTATGACATCTTTCGACCTTTGATTATGAAGAGTATGCATAAAGGTCAGTCGAAGCCGAGACCCTTGTGTTGATGACACTTTAAGAAACGACTGTGAAGCATCCTATTAATCACCTTCTGCAAGAACTAACGGTGAGTCCTTCTCATCTGTCTATTTTACCGTCGTCGTGTTTGTTTTATCCTATCTGTTTTATTGGGTCTTTGTGTGTCTCGTTTGGTCCTGTTTTATCTATCGATTATATGGTTGTCTTTTCCTGTTTGCCTCTCTCGTCTCTCGATCTGTCTGTCTGTCCGGGTCTCTCTCTGCTCCACTCCTCTCTCTCTCCTCTCTCTCTTCTCTCTCTCTTACTCTCTATTCTATCCTCTATCCTATCTATCCTATCTATCCCTCTCTCATCTATCTATCTATCTGTCTGTCTATCTACCTCTATTCTATCTATATTCTCTTATCCTATCTATCTTATCTTCTATCCTGGCCTATCGTCTATCTATCTAGTCTCTACTCTACCTACTCTCTATCTATTTTATCTATCATCTATCTCTGTCTAATCTGTTATCGATCTGTTCTATCATCTTGCCTTCATGGCCTGTTTCGTATAACTATGTCTGTGTATCTTTCTGTGTTGCCTGTCTGTTTCTGCTCTCTCTCTCTCTCGTCTCTGCTTCTTCTCCCTCTCTCTCTCTCCATCGCTCTCTTCTTCTCGCTCCTCTCATCTTCTCCTTCTCTATCTCTCTTCCTGCTCTTCTCTCTTCTCTGCGCCTCTGCCTCTCTCCTTCTGCTCTCTCTCGGCCTCTCTCGTCTCTCTCTCGTCTCCTCGCTCTATTCTCTCTCTCTTCCTCTCTTCTCTCTCTCTTCTCTCTCTCTCTCTCTCTCTCTCTCCTGCTCTAAAGCAAACCTGCAAGAGTTGGCAGCTAATGCATGATATGGTAAATAGCTGTATGAATTGGCAGGTTTACAATGAAAATGCATAAGAACCAGAGATCTGGCATGATAGATCCTATGCTCACCGTGCGTGTGATTTGATTAATTCATGTGTATTCATTCCTATTCGTGTTTATGTAGATGAAATAAACCATATTTAAGTATCTATTCACTTGCATACAGATGAAAAGATGAAAAGATACAACAAGAGAATAGAACGAAACAAATTAAAATAATAAAAGATAAAAAGATACAACAAGAGAATAGAACCCGAAACAGAATTAAACAATAAATGTATTTCAAAACACCTTCCTCCTTCAGAAATACTTGCCCCTCGAGGACTCGGGTTCCCTCCTGCCCAAGAAGCTGCAGGAGATTTTGGTCTTTACGAAATATGCGAGTAAAAAATACTGCGGCTGAAGGCTTGTATGAAGCGCGACCTTTCTCAGAGACATCTCGTCGCGAGTTCGATCTCTCTGACTTCAGCGGAGTGGGAGAGGCGAGTGAGGGCGAGAAGGCTGAGAAGCTTTTACATCTCCTGTGGGGCTTCGAAAACAAGGGCGATTTTCAGCTGTATTGAGGAAGGGGGTTGGAGGAGAGGGAAAAAAGGATTGGAGAAGGAGGGAAGAGGGAAAGAAAGGGATGATGGGAGTAAGGGAGGAGAGGGTAAAAGAAGGATGGGAGGGAAGGCAGAGGAAAAAGAGAATGATGGGACAGTCTAGGAAGGAGAGGAGAGGTAAAAAATCAAACAAGGATGGGAAGACAAAGAGGGAGACGGCGAATAAATAGAAGGCATTAGTCGGGCTCGAGCACAGGATACGGCGAGGAGGTAAAATGAAGCATGGCGAAGAAACGGCAGGGAGAGCGAACACGAGAGGATGGGAGGAGAATGGCGAAAGATGGGGATAGAGCAAATTGCCCTATTCACTACGGAAAAGAGGACTTCAAAAAAGGGAGGAAAGGAGAGGGAACCAGTTCCGATATCCCAAAAATGAATAACTGGAAAAGATGTGAAGGCGAGAAATGAAGGAAAAACAGACAGTATTAATTTCGATCTTTACAACCCTGTTTTTACTTATATCATTCAAGACCTGCGAATTAAATAATGCTGAAAATACATAAAGCGTTGAAGAAATTATTTTCACTTGACTTAGCTTCCCTGATTTCTACTGTTAATAAACAGTGTATAACATAAAAAAAATAAACAATCACAGTTGTTTGTTTTCAGACCCTTTAAAAAACAATGAATGATTTATCACTTTCCATATACAAAGATTTATTGTACTTAATAGAAATGAATTATATACACAATGGCTACGCCAAATACATCTATAATTCCAGCCGTATTCATCTCCGCAGACATGTCAAACAATCGCACAAGACAGCCGGTCATTAAGGGGTCAAAATGCAACTCAACAATCATCCTTAGAATGCATTAAAGACACTGAAACCACAGCTGGGAAGACAGGCTTTTTCCTTCCTCGAGATGCTCTTGTCATTATGCAGTAATCTAAAAATTAGTAAAAATAAATAATAAAAAGAAAAAAGAGCAAGAAAAAAACACATGGCACGCTCAGCTAATACAGCGGTTGCTACAAACCAGTGGCACTTAAGATCACATTTATACCTGACTATGATGATAGCGGTAATGATAAAAGACATAGTAATGGTAAACGTAATAATAGTAGATACCATTGGTAAGTGTAGGATGGTGTAATATGTATTATGTTACATATAAAAGTGAAGAACGATAAAATGCTTGGACGACTGTTCTGGCACCGAAATACGAAAATACTCTGCGTCGGCCTCTCTCTCGTCTTTTTTCTCTCCTCTCGTCTCGTCTCTCTTGTCGGTCATCTCTCTCAGAAGTCTCTCTACTCAATCTTCTTCTCATAACTTCTCTGTCATCTCTCTCGTTTCTCTGTCTCTTCTCTCTCGCTCCGCAGCATCTTTCTCTCTCACTTCTTCTTCTCTCTTCGTCTTCGTTCTTCTCTCTCCTTTCTCTTTCGCTCTCTCCTCTTCTCGTTCCCTTCTCTCTCTCTCTCTCTCTCTCTGGTCCTCTCTCTCTCTCATGCGCGTCTCGGTCCTCGATCTCAATAAAATGCCTCTCGCGTCATCGGCCCTCCCCTCTCTCTCCTTCTCTCGTCTCCCTCCCCCCCCCCCGGCTTCCCCCCTCCCTCCCCCCTTCCCCACCTCTCCTCTCCCTCTCTCCCTCCTCACCCCCTCACCCCCTACCCGAAACTACCTTCCCCTCCTGCCCCCTGACCCGAAACACTACTACTACTCTACACCTTCCGAAACTCTGCCCTGACTACTTCCTCTCCCGCCTTCCTATCTTCCCCACGTCTCGTCTCTACCTTCTCTCCTCTCTTCTCTCTCTCTCTCTCTCTCTCTCTTTGCTCTTCACTTCGGTTCTTTCTCTTCCTCTCCTCCTTCCTCGGTCTCCTCGTCTTCCTCTCTCTCGGTCCTCTTATCATATTCTCTTCATCTCCACTCTTCTCGCGTTATTCCTCGTTCTCCCCCTCCTCTCTCCTCTGCATCTCTCTCACCCTCTCTCTCCTCTCCTCTCTTCTCTCTCAATCATCTCTCTTCTCTATGCTCTCTCTCTCTCTCTCTCTCTCTCTCTCGTCATCTCTCTCTCTCTGCTCTCTCTCTCTCTCTCTCTCTCTCTCTCTCTCTCTCTTCTTCTCTCTCTCTCTCTCTCTCTCTCTCTCTCTCCTCTCTCTCTCTCTCCTCTTCTTCTCTCTCTCTCCCTCTCCCTCTCTCTCTCCCTCTCCTCTCTCGTCCTCTCTCCTCCTCCCTCTCTCTCTCCCTCTCTCCCTCTCTCCCTCTCCCTCCTTCTCTCTCTCTCTCTCCTCTCTCTCCTCCCTCTCCTCTCCCTCTCCCTCCTCCCTCTCTCTCTTCCTCTCTCCTCTCTCTTTCTCTCTCTCTTCTCCTCTTCTCTCTCTCTAAGTCCCTCTGGAGTAAACCGAACGAACATTACTCAAATAACAGTATAAATAGTGTGAGAGTAATCATATTATGGGTATAATGATAGTGATTATGGTGATAGTAATGATAATGATGATAATAATAATGAGATGATAATGATGATGTATAAAATCAACAACAGTAAAATAAAATGATATAATTGATAATTATTACGATACCAATAACAATGCTGATAACAATGAAAATTATAACGTTAATGATAATAGTTATAAAGTTAATGATCATGATGTGAATAATAATAATAATATTGATAACGATGATAATCATAATGATAACATAAAAAAAAAGTAAATAATACTAATAGCAGTAAGATAAATAATAATGAAAATAATGGTGATGATACTGCTAAAAGTAATAATGATATTAATAGTAACAATGATACCATTGATAATGGTGATAAAATATTGATAGTATAATAATAACAATAATAAAAATTTAACAATATATTGATGATAATGACAGAAACAATAAAAATATCAATATTATAGTAATAATGATAGAAATATATGATGATAATAGTAATGAATAATGATAAATTAATATTAATGAATAAATATAATATAGTAATAATAATAATATTACTATAATGATAGTAATCATTATAATTGTTAAGATTATTATGATTATTATTATTACCATTACTAATATCATTATCACTATTATTATCAATATTATGACTTTCATTATCATTATTATTATCATTATTATTATAAAGAGAATGATGGTGATAACACTGATGATAATAATAATGATAATGCTGATAATAGTAATAGTAATAATGATGATAATAATAATGATAATCATGATAATGATAAAGATAATAGTAGTAATAATGATTTTACTAATAATATAGATGATGATGATAATAATAGCAGTAATGGTAATAGTAATAATAATGATAATAATAATAATAATAATGTGATATGATAGTAGAAAAGATATAGAAGAAGATTACTGTAATAAAATTAAGATAATAACACACAGCAACAGTAATAATACCAATCATCATAGCATTAATAATGATGATGATGGTACGAATAAGAAGACAACAATAACAACAAAAATAACAACAAAAACGGCAGCAAAGATATTGATAATGATGGCATCAACAACAGGAAAAATATAACCAAAAGATAAAGACAATAACAAAAAACAACAACAACAAAAAATCAAATAATAATAATATGAATACCCAAAGCACACAATTTCATTCCCGTCATCGAAAAAAACAGACAAACAAAATCCCATCAGCTATGACGATAGGCATATGCCAGTCATTGCATAAAGGTCATTTTCGAAAGATCAGCGCCTGGGAAAAGGGGGAGAGGGGGAGAGGAGGGAGAGGGGGAAAGGGAGGGGGAGGGGGGGGCGGGGGGTGATAATGAGTTATGATGACTTGGCATATCAAATATGTATATAAAGGAGTGGGCATGACTTCTGGGCATCAGTCTCGTCTATCAGGTAAGGACAGCATCATCATCATGTAGCAGGATATGTTTAAGTGAAATTTCATGTGGTTGGGTATTTTATTGATAAGATTTTGAGGGATAGGTCTATTAGTACTTATTAATAGGAGAATATGTTTGAGGGAAATTTCATGTGGTTGGAATATTTTACTCATGAGATTTTGGGGGGATAGGTATTTTCATGTGGTTGGAATATTTTATTAATGAGATTTTGAGGAATAGGTCTATCAGTACTTATAAATAGGAGAATATGTTTGAGGGAATTTTCATATTTCATATATTTTAAGGGATAGGTCTATCAGTGCTTATTAATAGCAGGATATGTTTGTGAAATTTCATGTGGTTAAGATATTTTGCTAAAGGGATTTTGGGGGATAGGTCTATCAGTACTTATTAGTAGGATATGTTTGAGTGAAATTTTATATGTTGGGATATTTTACTAATGGGATTTGAGGGATAGGTCTATCAGTACTTATTTAATAGGAGAAATATGTTTGAGTGAGATTTCATGTGGTTGGGGTATTTAACTCATGAGATTTTGGAGTATAAGTCTATCTGTACTAATTGGCAGGAGGATATTTTCGAGTGAAATTTCATGTGGTTGAGATATTTTATTAATATTTTGAAGGATAGGTCTGTTAGTTAATTGGTTGTGTTTTTTTATTATCATTTGTGTTAATGTAGGAAAAGGTTGTAATTTAATATAACGTCAGAGATCCTCACGTAACGTATGATTATCGTAAATTTTATTAGCATTGTTGATACCATAACTAATATTCAACAGTAATTTTTGTTATCATGATGATCATTATCACATGTTATATAAGCAGTAGTAGGAATACCACTTCCATCCTCTTCACTTCCATTATCAATATCATCATCAACAACATCCTCATTATCATCATCAATCATCATTATGTCATTATATAAATCTATTATAGATAACTAAGATCGAGATAAAATGAGTCATAACATCCTAAACCATGACACACTTTCCCCCTTTGATAAATGGTAATAATAATAATAAAGATAGTAACAATCATGATAATGATAATTATGATAGAAACAATTTAAAAAATATCAAAATAACAGTAATGATGACGATAAAAAATGATTATGAGTATTAAAGCAATGATAATGATAATATTGATAATAATATTGATGATAACAATAATGATAGTATCAATAATAGTAATGATTATGGTAATCTATTAAAAGACTGCTATTAAGATTATTGATTATTTTTTTGTTACCATTACCATTAATTATCATTCCCCCTCTGATGAATATATTATATTTAAGATTATTATGATCATTTTTATTACCATTACCATTTATTACCATTCCCCTTTGATAATACATTATATTAAGATTATTATAATTATCTTTATTACAATTATTATTTATTACCATTCCCCCTTTGATCAATACATTATCATTTCCTCAGGGTGTTTCTATTAATATCATTACGATTACTTATATTACCATTACCATTTATTACCATTTCCCCTTTTGATGAATACATTATTATTCTTTTCTCAGGATGTTGCTATTATTATTGTGATTATTTTTATTACCACGATGGATATATTATCCTTTCCTCAGGGTGTTGCTATTAAGATTTTTGTGATTATTTTTATTGCCATTACCATTACCATTTATTACCATTCCCCCTCTGATGAATATATTATATTAAGATTATTATGATTATTTTTATTACCATTACCATTTATACCATTCCCTTTTTGATTAATACATTATATTAAGATTATTATGATCATTTTTATTACCATTACTATTTATTACCATTCCCCTTTTGATCAATATATTATTATCCTTTTCTCAGGATGTTGCTATTAAGATTTTTGCGATTATTTTTATTACCATTACTATTTATTACCATTCCCCCTCTGATGAATATATTATATTAAGATTATCATGATCATTTTTATTACCATACTATTAATATCATTCCCTCTTTGATGAATATTATTATCCTTTTCTCAGGATGTTGCTATTAAGATTTTTGTGATTATTCATATTACCATGATGGATAAATTATCCTTTTCTCAGGATGTTGCTATTAACATTTTTGTGATTATTACCATTACCATTTATTACCATTACTTTAAACCATTCCCACATTGATAAATATATCATCATTTCCCCAGGGTGTTGCTATTACTATTGTGATTATTTTTATTACCATTCCCCTATTGATGAATATATTATCCTCTCCCTAGAATGTTGCTATTACTATTGTGATTATTTTTATTACCATTTCCCCTATTGATTAATACAATTATCCTTTCCTCAGGATGTTGCTATTATTATTGTGATTATTTTGATTAATATATTATCCTTTCCTCAGGATGTTGCGTGCACTAGTTCTCTTGACGGCCGTGTGCTCCGTTCTCGCCAAGGATGGGTTCGCCGAGAAGTATGCTTACTCTAAGGTATGTCTTCGTTTTCATTCATACTTTGGCATGGTTCATACATACATACGTTATTATTATATGATATTATACATATATAATTCATTCATATATGACATAAGATTCAGATCTCTGGAGGAAGATTTTAAGAGGAAATTTAAAAGGTTTATTGGGTTGTGAAGGATTGTTTATAATGTTTTCTGTAAAAGTTGGTAGTTGTATTGAATGTAATCATACTGTTTTAACCAAATTAGACGAGTTATGGTTTTATAACTTATAGTTTTAGCTTATAGTTTTATAGTTATAGTTTTATATAGTTATAGTAGTTAGTTTTATAGTTATAGAGTTTTATAGTTATAGTTTTTAGTTATAGTATAGTTTTAGTTTTATAGTTATAGTTTTAGTTTATATTATAGTTTTAGTTTTATAGTTATAGTTTTATTTATAGTTTTAGTTTTATAGTTTATAGTTTTTAGTAGTTTATAGTTTTAGTTTTATAGTTATAGTTTTATTATAGTTGTAGCTATAGCTTATAGTTTTATAGCTTATAGTTTCATAGTTATAGTTTTATAGTTATAGCTTATATTTATAGTTATAGTTCATAGTTGTAGCTTATAGATATAGTTTTATAGTTATAGCTTATAGCTTTATAGTTATAGTTTTACAACTATACTTTCGCATGTGTTTCGCCTCCTCTGAGAATGCACCTTTTCTCCCAAGGTGATGACCAACTGCTTCGGCGAAGACCTGTACTACGGCTGGTCGAAGGAGGTGTTCAAGGCCGTGAAGGAGTGCTACGGGGAGGAGGTGCAGCTTCCTGAGGCTGAGGGAGGAGGAGTCGTCTTCGGAGGAGGAGGAAGCCTCGAGTCCCTTGGTAAGTGAGGAGCCTAAAGGTTGTGGTCACGTCAGATTGAGAAAATTTGGTTTGTTGTCAGTGAGGTTTAAATACTAGTTTGGGGTCCTTGTAGGCACGCACGCAACACATACACACACACACACACACAAACATGGATACACACGTACACACACACACACACACACACACACACACACACACACCACACACACACACACACACACACACACACACACACACACACACACACACACACACACACACACACACACACACAAACGATCACACACACACAAAAACCCAAACAAACAAACCCACACACAGACACACACGCGCCCTTACAAACCAACAAATTCCCATGCTTTGAATATCCTCCTCAGGGCCTGGACAGATTCAGCGGCCAGCCGATTATCCTCTTCTACCCTCCTCAAGGACAAGGCCAAGATGCAAGGCTTCCGGCCGACTTCCCATTCAAGCTCTTCTCTCGACGCCAGGTAAGATTCGCGAGCAGCTTCTCCCTCGAAAAAAAAAATTGAATTGCTATAAAGTTCGACTTATCTATAACAGCTGACAGGCGTGACATAAGATTAACACGTTCTTGTACCACACTTCACACTCTGCTGATATCGTGATAGAACCATACCACAGGATTTTTCTTCTTGGAATTATTATAAAAACCCAGTACAGTATGAACATCTGACTCCATTACGAAATTTATAATAATAATAATAATAATCGAAACAAACTATTGCACACTTCAAACCCATCATTATGAAGCAACATCACTAGCCATCATTCCCATCATAGTATCCAAAAACTGACCTTAATTTATCCCTTAACTAACGGACCGCTTTATTTCCTATCATCCAGAAGCGCGAGGCCCCCCTGTACAGCGCTCCCATCCTCAAGAAAATGGTCCAAAAGGTCAAGGCGAAGGTCAGCAACTTCACCTGCGTCATGAGGAAGATGAACTACGTGAGTATGAGGAGCAGGAAGATCTGTAGCTTCAGATTCTTTTATTATTGTCATAGTATTATTACTTTGTTATTAATGATATTTTATCATTATCATTATTATTAGAATTATTATCATCATTACTATTTTGCTAGTATCATTATCATCATTAAAATTCTTATGTTATTATCATTATCATCATTAATACTCTTTTGCTTTTATGATTATCATCATTATATTCATTATCATTATCATTACTGCTATTATCTTTATTATTGTCATTACAATTACTGCTAGTACTACTATCAATATCATCAGCATCGTTATAGTTTTTATCATGATTATTAATATCATAACTATTAGTATTCTTATCACCATTATTCCCTTTCTCTATTACGCAGCCATTTTCGATAAAATAAGAAAGAAAATGAAAGAAAATAAAAGAAAAAAAAAAGATATATACATTTCTTCTCTTCCTCATCAGATTGACGACGACTTCAACATCGATTACAAGACAGCGATCGAAGAAACAAAGAAACTGGACATTGCTGACGACCTGAAGGAGGACCTCCTGGAAGCCATGGAGAAGTGCAAGGACCTTACGGTAGGTTTCGTGTGTGGTGAGAGAAGGAGGAGAAAGAGAGAGGGAGGGGAGAGAGGAGGGAGGAGAGTGGAGAGAGGGGGGGAGGGAGGGAGGGAGGGAGGAGAGAGGAGAAGGAGGAGGAGGGAGGAGGGAGAGAGAGAAGAGAGAGAGAGAGAGAGAGAGAGAGTGAGAGAGAGAGAGAGAGAGAGAGAGAGAGAGAGAGAGAGAGATAGAGAGAGAGAGAGAGAGACAGACAGACAGACAGACAGAGAAAGTTAGAGAGGGAAAGAAAGAGAAATAGAAAAACCGTCCCTTGACCCCAGCCTCCTCCTGCAGATGTGCCTCCCCCTCGAGAAGTCCGGCTCCCCGATGCCCCTGAAGCTGCAGCGCATCGTCGCCCTCAACAAGTGCTGGAAGAAGGCCCGCCTCGGCGTCTGCATGAAGCACGACCTCATGAAGTACCTCAACTGGTTCGACCTCTCCGAGTTCCCTGCCGACGAGGACGACGACGAGGGCTCGAAGGCCGAGAAGCTCCTGCACCTCCTGTGGGGCGTCGAGGCCAGGGACGACTTCCAGCTGTACTGAGCGGACGAAAGGGAACAGCTGGGCTCTCAGCGCTTCCCCGTGCTTGCTGATGCGTCGCTTTGTCTTTTGGAAGAAATTCGTAAAGTGTCGCCGAATAAATAATGCAAATTCTGAATTATGGTGACTTTAATTCCCATTTACGACACAATCACTTTGAGTCTAAATCAAGTGTTTCAGATATATCAATTTCCAGTTAGAAAGGGAATCCATGTAGTTTAACTATTTTTACTTTTCTTCAAGTTGGCATGCTTAGAAAACTTCAAATATACTCTAAACCTTAACATCACATTTCCATTGCTTTGTTACTTAAAGAGCAAACGGTTTACCTTCATCTTTACTAATTATACTGTATGTAAACAGGCACAGCACCTTGGCACGATTAACAGCACTATCGTAATTTTGCTCTAGTCCTGAGGCTGACCGTGCCGTCTCTCGCGGTGATCTGCCAGTCACGAGGCAGAACACCTGTAGTTGCCACCACAGTACATTTCTTTTCCGTGTTCAGGGGCGTCTCAGCCGCTCTCACACGTGTGTTAAGTTCACCTACCTTGACCACACACACACACACACACACACTCTTCGTGAATCCTAAATTCCAGGAAATTTCAAAGATGAGCACAAGGCATAGAGGATCATGACTATGCTTTCTGAGACAATAAAATCGTTTTACTTGAATACTCAACACGCAAAAGGAAAAAAGAAGAAAGAAAGACAGAAAGAAGAAAGAAAGAAAAGAAGAAAGAAGAAAAAGAAAAAAGAAAGAAAAAAGAAAGACAGAAAGAAGACAGCGTGTAGGTGAAAGACAGAAAGGAAAACTTCATTCTTATCAGTCTGGAAACTTCGAAAAGCCAGCTGTGAAAATAGCTTACTAAGGCAGTCCAACTTCCCCTTTTAACGCACGCTCCCCCACTTCTTTGCTAATGCCACACTTTACGCCGCGAAAGGATGCTCATTCACGCCAAATCAAGCCTTAGAGTCCTAATTAAGGTCTTTAGGGTTCATGAAAGAAAACCCCAGAAAGCTTCCTTAATACAGGTCGAATGGAAAGCGCCATTTTTTGCTGGGCTAAAGACTGCCTGATTTTTTTTTTTTGTAGTTTTTTTTTTTTTTAGAAGTAAGGTTTTATTTTTTTCCAGATCTCTTGACTTGCAATTTCAAAGTAAAGTAATTGGTTTTTTTAGATGGTAACGGAAAGCGCCATTTTTGCTGGGATAAAGACTGCCTGTTTTTTTTTTTTTTTTTTTTTTTGTAGAAGTAAGGTTTTTTATTTTTTTTCCAGATCTCTTGACGCAATTTCAAAGTAAAGTAAATTCGTTTTTTTGATGGGTAACGGAAGCGCCATTTTTGCTGGGATAAAGACTGCCTGATTTTTTTTTTTTTTTTTTTTTGAGAAGGTTTTTATTTTTTTCCAGATCTCACGCAATTCAAAGTAAAGTAATTCAAGTTCTTTTGAGATTGGTAACGAAAGCGCCATTTTTTGCTGGGTGTGGACTGCCTGAGTCTCTTTTTTGAAAAAGTAAGGTTTTTATTTTCTCTAGCTCTTTACTTGTAATAAGCAGGCACGCATACAACACACACACACACACACACACACACACACACACACACACACACACACACACACACACACACACACACACAAACACACACACACACACAACACACAAACACACACACACACACATACACACACACACCTTTACCCGGGTTACACGGCATCATCATTATCATTATTATAATCATTATTATTACTACTATCACATCATCATTAATACTATTATGCTATTATCATTATCATTGTCATTATTATTACTGCTATTATCATTATTATTATTGTTATTGCCATAATTTTCATTATCATTACTAGTATTATTACTGTTTATTTTAACTTATATTATTGTTTTACCTTATATACACAAGTTACAGTGACTGCATTTCTTACACATGGCCGTCTTAAAAACATGCTGTGTGTTTCTAATCTTAGATTTTCTTGTGATAAGATATGATATCAATTGCACGTTTCGCGTTGATGACTTCTCGCACTGCAAAACCAGACTACCGGCCGTTTGTTGAATTGAGCGAGCTTCGACCCAAAAGAATATTTATCATACAGACGTGCATATGCTCATGAATATATACTTATCTATCAGTCTTGCTTATCTAAAGGATAGATAGATGAATGTGTATCTGTCAGACAGATAGACAAATATGCATTTATTTCTGTATATGTGCATGTATATATGAATATTCACTGAATCGTGTTTTGCGCAAATTTAACAAACTGGCTGTAATACAAAATAACCTAATAGATGAACAATACTGATGTATATACATGTCTTGTAACACACGCACATAACATGGATACACACGCACGGAATCACAAGCACTCAGACAAACAGGTAAGTGTGCAAATGTGCATTCGCAGATACTCACACCTGTCAAGCATACAATGAATATCATACATTCTCACTTACAAACATATAAACACGCTTATAAAGACACCCATTCTCGTTAACAATTACAAAACAAAGATGGCTTCTTTTGCCGGAATATCAGAGGTTTTATGGGAATTAGGAAGTGTGAAAGAGACGGAAAGCCGCCATAAGGTAGAGCTGAGTTCAAGGGGTAATGGTCGATGGAGCTATATTGTGTTGATGACAACATTTTGTTCCATATTTCGGCTTTAAATTCGGGTATTAGGGATATTTTCCATACCTATTGATCCTGTAGTCTGCCGGTGAATGATTGGGTGTTTGATAAAATGAATCCAAATCTTTGTTTTATTAGGCTATATTGTGGAAACGAATACATTTTGATAACATATAATACCGTACTATGATAACAATAATTTACAGTACTAGGAATTCTTTGGAATTGAGATTACATTGTATTGCAGTTTCACTATTTGTACTACAGCTTCACTATATCTAATGTTTTTGCTTTCTGTTGTAATCCATAGTCACTAAATATTCGATTGACGAATTATACAGGTTCCAGGTGAATGTAATTTAAAAATATGCTGAAAAATGTGAAACACGACCCAATAATTGTGCGTTTCTCATGAAGTGTTCAGCCACATTCCCTTACTTCAAAGTGCTCAAGTGAACACCCAGTGAACATCGCCTTGACCTCCCCTTTGTCGACTCGAGCTGCCCTTCAGTAGAGCTGGAGTTCGTCGTCAGCCTCGAGGCCCCACATCAGGTGGAGGACCTTCTCCGCCACCTCGGCTTCGCTCTCGCCTTCCCTCCGCAGGTCGGACAGGTCGTAGTCGTCCAGGTTCTTCAGGACGTCGCGCTTCATGCAGACGTGCAGGCGGGTCCTCCTCTCGCACTTGAGGAAGGCGACGATCTTCTGCAGCTTCTTGGGCATCGGGGAGGCGGGGTTCTCGGGATACTGCGGGAGGAGGAAGGGGCGGCGGGTGAGGTCGTGGGGTCGTGGGGAGAGGTCGTGGGTGGTGCCTCCTCGGCCCTCCCTTGCTCCTCTCCTTCGGTCTTTCTCTTTCGTGCTTACTTACTCATGCTCTTTAGTGCTTTCTCTTTCTCGCTGCATCTCTCTCTCTCTCTACCTATCTGTCTATCTATCTGTCTATCTATCTACATATATATAAGCATAAACACACGCATAAATCTCTCTCTCCTCTCTCTCTCTCTCTCTCTCTCTCTCTCTCTCTCTCTCCTCTCTCTCTCTATATATATATATATATATATATATATATATATATATACTAATGTATATTTAGATGTATATATATAAAACACACGCACAAATATCTATATATATCTATATCTATATATCTATCTATCTGATCTATCTATCTATCTATATCTATCTAGATTCTAATCTATCTATCTCTCTATCTATCTGTAATCTCTATCTATCTATTCTATCTATCTATCTCTATATATATATATGTTGTATAATATTATATATATATATATATATATATATATATATATATATATATATATATATATATGTATATATATATATATTATATCTATATATCTATATCTATATATATATATCTATATCTATCTATCTATCTATATATCGTGTGTGTCTGTGTGTGTGTGTGTGTGTGTGTGTGTGTGTGTGTGTGTGTGTGTGTGTATGTGTGTGTGTGTGTATGTACATGTGTATAATGTATGTATGTACATTTCTCCGCCCACCTCGTATTCCTGGCAGTAGTCGAGCGCCGCGATGAGGTCCGCCTTGACGCCGCCGTCCAGAGTCGCGAACAGTTCGGAGATCTCGAGCTCCTCCCTCAGAAAGTCGTAGTTGACGTCGAAGTCCTCTTCCAGCTGGGTGACAAACGCACGGAAAAATTAGTTAATTGGAGAATCTATGGAGGAATCACGTGACAAACGCACGGAAAAATTTAGTTAAAAGGAGAATCTATGGAGGAATCACGTGACAAACGCACGAAAAGATTAGTTAAATGGAGAATCTATGGAGGAATCACGTGACAAACGCACGAAAGATTAGTTAAATGGAGAATCTATGGAGGAATCACGTGACAAACCACGAAAAATTAGTTAATGGAGAATCTATGAGGGAATCCGTGACAAACGCACGAAAAAATTAGTTAAATGGAGAATCTATGGAGGAATCACGTGACAAACGCACGAAAAGATTAGTTAAAAGGAGAATCTATGGAGGAATCACGTGACAAACGCACGAAAAGATTAGTTAAATGGAGAATCTATGGAGGAATCACGTGACAAACGCACGGAAAAATTAGTTAAAAGGAGAATCTATGGAGGAATCACGTGACAAACGCGGAAAAAGTTAGTTAAATGGAGAATCTATGGAGGAATCACGTGACAAACGCACGAAAAGATTAGTTAATTGGAGAATCTATGGAGGAATCACGTGACAAACGCACGAAATAAAATAGTTAATTGGAGAATCTATGGAGGAATCACGTGACAAACGCACGGAAAAATTAGTTAAATGGAGAATCTATGGAGGAATCACGTGACAAACGCACGGAAAAAAATAGTTAAATGGAGAATCTATGGAGGAATCACGTGACAAACGCAGAAAAAATTAGTTAAAGGAGAATCTATGGAGGAATC